GACCCTTTCACAGGGGTCGCCTAAGACCATTGGAAAACACATATATAATTACATATTGTTTTTGTGATTAATCACTATGCTTTAATTATGTTCAATTTGTAACAATGAAATTGGGGGTCACCACAACATGAGGAACTGTATTAAAGGGTCATGGCATTAGGAAGGTTGAGAACCACTGGTCTAAAGTATGTTTTAAAAGCTAGATTATTAGAAAGCTACCACTTCTTAGTTAATTTGGAATGTGATAGGTCTTAATTTTCCTAATATTGTTCTAACTTAAATTTTACTGTTGTGATTTCTATTGACATGAACTAGAAGTGCCTTCAGTAGACAGCTTGTTTTACTATTTAATTGCTGTCAAATAAAATCACTTAAGATGCTATAATTTTGGCAGATAAACTCTTAATATTTAATTGACTAATATTACTAAGCCTATAACAAGCCCACTAATTTAGCTATCATAGGTCCATTTTGCAACTATTCCTTAAAAAGGCTTTATTAAGAAGTTGTATCTTTATTAGATATCTTATGAATGTATTATGGTTATTAAAAACTAGCTATAGTGGGTTGTTAATAGCAGCAGCATTGGACATTTTCCAGTCTTAGAGCATTTTGTCTTGTTCTTTAGCAGCAGTTGGCAAACTGGCCAGTGGGCCACATTTGACTGGCTGCTTGATTTTGTGCTGATTATATGAGCTAAATGGTTTTTATATTTTTAAGTGGCTGAAAAAAAAGAAAGAATTTATATAAATCCATGTTTCACTATCTATAAATAAAGTTTTATTGGAACATAGCTGTGCTTATTCAGGTGCCAATCATGGCTTTTGTGCTACAATGACAGAGTTGAGTAGTAGTGACAGAGACAATTTGTCTATGAAGCCTAGAATATTTACTGTTTGGCCCTTTAGAGGAAAAGTTGCTGACTCTTATTCTATAGTATAAAAAAAATGTAGCCTTGATTGTTCATTGAAGAAAAATCTTTCCCTCTTTTACTGGCATACCCCACCCCCACTACTAAGTAACACATTTTCTTATAGAAAATTTGGAATATGTAGAAAAGTATAAAGAAGAAAATTAAAAACCATCTGTAGTTGTTGGATAACCATTAATATTTTGGTGTATATTTCTCCAGACCTTTACAAATATATGATATATTTTTTAATATAATTATACATTATGTAATATGTGTACATCTACAAATACATTTATTTTTTAAAATTAGTCTAACTTGCTTTTTTTCACTTGATAAATTATAAGAACATGTTTTTAATAACTGCATAGCATTCTATTTTACGGGATAACTTATTTAATCATATTCCTTTGTTGTCAACCTTTTATTATAAATATATATTACATTTTAAATACATATTTTATATATTTAATGTATACTTTATATTTAAATATTATATGATGTATATTTTAAATATTATATATAACATGGATGACTATCCATGTTAGAAATCTTTCTGGGAAATGCTGGTTATTTTTGTAAGATTCTTAAAAATGAAACTATGGGTAAAATGGTATAAAAACTAGAGAAGTATTTTGAGAGAAATCTTTGTATTACATGAAAATACTTCCTTGGCCTGCCTTTAGTAGGAAGATGGTTTTGCTTGCATTTAGCCTAGGTTCTGGTTAGATATACTAATTTTTGTACTAGACCATCAAACCAGTCATTAAAAAATTTTGACTGTTAAATAATGCTTATGGTGATACTGATAGTAGAGGGACTGGAAGAACTGGGCCAGTGCCCTACTCTGGGTTCATGGTTTTTAGTCACGATTCTGCAGCTTGGGAAATACTTTGCTGGGTGGGCACTCCTAGCGTGATTCTCAGAGCCATAGAGTTCAGTAATGTTCCAGGCCAGTATGAGATGACACAGTAGGCTCAGAAGTGGATGGGGGTGGAGTTGAAGGAGCTATGGTCCATTCTGAAGATCCACTCATTCTGTGGTGTACCCACAAAACTGTACCCAAGTACTTCACTCAAAGAATGATTTGTGAAGGGTATTGACTTAAAATATTTTTAGGGCTACCCAACACCAGCTGTTAGGATTGATCTGTTCACAGCAGAGGTTATTAATTGAGAGGTGGGGTCTCTGAAATTGATATCAAATGGAAGACAGCATAGTAACATCTAGTTCAGTGATGGCGAACCTTTTGAGCTCGGCGTGTCAGCATTTTGAAAAACCCTAACTTAACTCTGGTGCCGTGTCACATATAGAAATTTTTTGATATTTGCAACCATAGTAAAACAAAGATGTATATTTTTGATATTTATTTTATATATTTAAATGCCATTTAACAAAGAAAAATCAACCAAAAAAATGAGTTTGCATGTCATAGGTTTGCCATACTGATCTAGTTCTTTGTCTTCTGTTGAAAAATTGGAAGGTCTAGCAACACTGGGCTCATTCTGACTTTTGCAAGAGATAGCTGGAGCAAAGTTAGTGGCTTCCAATTTGTGCTGTACATAGTGATATAGGTTGTAAGTAATTTAGCAAGATTTTGATGGTTGTACGTATTTTTATAGCTCTCAAACATATAAAAGCATTTTATAAAACATTTAAAGATTTATAATAGGCAAAATTATATTTTAATATTCTTTATGTAGATCCTTTATAAACTACTTGAATTCAGAAACATGTATGGCTGTGCATACTAAACATGGCCAAAAAGAGTTGTGTTGTGGCTATAACATGTAGTAATTCTCCTGAATTTTCTGTTAAATAATTTCCTCTCTAATTATTACTTTAATTGTGTATGTATATGTTATTTAATCATCAGGAAATATATATGTGTTTGTGTACATAAAGTTATCTTAATTTTCAGAATTATACTGTTAAGATAGAAAAGAGCATGAGTGTTAGCTGATTATTACTTTATGATATTTAGTGTTCTCTAATGGAAAACAATTTTGTTAGTTTTTTTGCAAGGTATTTAATTTTTAATTATTATGGGCTTTCGATGTGACAATTTGTCAAGCCTGAGTTTGATAGGATTCATTATATGTTTGACTTTAGAATTTAAAGAACTAGTGCTTATATCTAAAAATAATTAATAGTTGGACATATATAATTCAGTAAATTCAATAAAGAAAATACAGGTGTTGGCTTGGCTGGTGTTGCTCAGTGGTTGAATGTCAACCTAGGAACCAGGCGGTCACTGTTCAACTCCTGGTCAGGATTTCTGGCTCAATCCCCAGTAGGGAGCGTGCAGGAGGCAGCTAATCAGTGATTCTCTCTCATTATTGATGTTTCTATCTCTCTCCCCCTCTCTGAAATCAATAAAAATATATATTCTTTAAAAAGAAACTAGTTACAGGATTGCAAAATTAGTAAAGCCCAGATACCACACTGTTCTTTGTTCCTGCCTGTATGGAACACTGTTTGGGAGCAGTGAGGGAAAGGAAATGGAAAAATTGCCATTTCGGTTGTTCTGTTAGATACGTTGAAGATTAGTCAAAGACAAATCTGGCCCTTTGGGGTCTGCCTAGGACCAGTCGGTAAGGTGTGGGTTCTTGACTTCATGGAGGAAAAATTTCACAACACGAGTCCAGTGATTATGAGGGAACATTTATTAAGGCTGGGGATGTGAAACAAGGAAGGGCTTAGATCAGTGGTTCTCAACCTTCCTAATGCCGCGACCCTTTAATACAGTTCCTCATGTTGTGGTGACCCCCAATTTCATTGTTACAAATTGAACATAATTAAAGCATAGTGATTAATCACAAAAACAATATGTAATTATATATGTGTTTTCCGATGGTCTTAGGTGACCCCTGTGAAAGGGTCGTTCGACCCCCAAAGGGGTCACGACCTATAGGTTGAGAACCGCTGGCTTAGATGGACACAGACACCAGGAAGGTGCGGGCATGTGCTAGGTGGTGGGAGTGGCCGGGGAGAGGTCAATGGGGGAAAAAGGAGACATATGTAATACTATATGTAATACTTTTTAAACAATAAAGAATTGAAAAAAAGGGCGGGGGGAGCTTAGCATAGAAGAAGCAACAGGAGAACCGAGGCTGGGCTGCCCTACCTCTTTGGGAAGTCAGAGAAAAGGGGGCCTTGGAAACAGGTTCAACGGACTAGCCTGCAAGGAGTTGCCTCTGCCCATTGCTCCCCAGGTTGCAAGTCTCATAGGGTCCCTTAGGTTTTAGGAGATGCAAGCCTATGGGGGAAAAAGTGAGGGAAGAAGAGGGGAAAGGGAATGGTGAGATTGGGGTGCTCCCCAGAGGGTGAGCACGGGCCTGGGTCCTTCGTCTTGAGGTTTCATCTCTTTCTCTCAGGTAGAAATCTCAGGGGAGGGTATTAGCTGAATATTAAACAGTTCTCTAGGTGTGGTTCCCCAGGGCCCTGATTTCCAATGATCGGTCAGTGTCAGGGCAGGGGGTCTGAGTCATTGCAGCTGGTCCTCGTGGCCCCCACCTCATTTTGCTGCTTTTCTGGGTCTAGGGCTGAAATACAACTGAGGCCTAGATATTATTACAGGGAGATGACCTTCTGTATCTGCTGTAAATTGCTCTGCTAGTTTGTTCAGCTGTCTGCCTCAGTTTCCCTGTTCCACTTGTCCAGGCTTACTGGCCTATCTCATAAAGACGATACTAATCCAGAACATTATTTAATTCAAAAGGTGTTCGTCGCAGATGTGAAGCCATAAATATTGGCAGTGCCCCTTAATTAGAAGGCTGTATAGAATTCTTGAAGAAAAACACCTGGAACAACATTATTTACTTGGTAGAGAAGTTCTAAAATCAACTGAGGATGAAATATTCGAAGTGAAAACAATGAGTATTTTGAAACATACAAGATATAATGGAATGGTGGAAGTTGGGAATTGGTAGTAACAGAAAGGTATAAAGTCTTTACATTAAGTTCAATCTAAAAAACACACACCTGATATCTTATTCACAGAGAAGCTCTTGTAATATTAAAATTTCCTGTGATTCTGAATTCCACATTCAATGATGTCATAAAATTGATGAGCCTAATGAAATCCAAGCTGCTGCAGTGCCTTCTTTCAGCATTAGGTGAATAAATGTGATTAGCTATTTCATTGCTAAAAAGTGTCGACAGTCCAAAGGAAGATTTATAAACTAAAAAGAAAAATTTAAATTACTCTGTGTGAATGATTCTTACTTTGCAGATTGTTGAAGTATAGTTATTGGCTTCAAAAAATGATATCCTTAACTGACATTTTGAGCACTTGAATTAATTTAAAAGTGCAATGATCATGTGGATATAAATTAACGTGTACTGACAAAGTTTATGGGCTCAGAGTAATATTTCAGCTTTGAGAGAGCAAAGTTAAAATAGTTTTAGAAGTGATGTTTAATGGGTGTTATTTGAATCCTAAAGAAGAATTAATGAAAGTGAAGTCAGTGTGTGCCTGAGACAGAGCTTTAGCAGTATATTGAAATACTTGTTATAAAAAAATTCATTTGTATTCAAAACCTACTTACATCATCAGAAGGAATTAACATACTTCTCAGAAGAAAGGGAGGAGCTATTAAATTGAAAGATTTTAGCACTCTTGAAGTATAATTTAAAGAGATTGAGTTGTTGGAAGTCTGGTTAATCATGAAAAAGGAGTTTCCAGCGTATTAGAGCAAAGCTGCCTCCTCTTTTTCCTTTTGCTACTGCTTGTGCTAATAAAGCTTCTTTGCAATGGTTGCTAGATAGAATATTAAAATAATGTTAAAAAGTCTTAATCAGGAGTTATGTGTAGCCTTTATAAGCATAAAATCTAATATACAAAAGTTGTGTTTAATCTCAAGTTTTTTATTTAAAGAGTTTGAAAATTTTAATTTTATTACGAAGATGTAATAAAAGTTTTACAAAATTTTATATCACATTCCTAGTTGCCCTTCCCAGTGTGCCATAAAAATATATTCATTTTCTGGATGTGCCCTGAACTTGAAAATGTTGTCGATTCCTGGTGTAGGCCTTCATTTATAAATTAAGTAGGCAATCGAGAGTCATGCATTTGAAGAAAATCAACAGATATCAAGCTCACTAAGGTGAATAATTGACCCTTGATAAAAAATAATTTATAAACAAAATAAGAATTTAATTAAGTCCCTATAAGTTTTATCAATGGATTCAATAGAACTTATGTTTATACAAGAACTAAAAATGGTGGGAAAGGAAAATTGGAGAATAGGAAAGGAATTAAAACATAATTCCTAAATGAAATACTCAGTAGAATAAATGTTGGAGAACAGATATGGCCAAAAACTACAGATAAAAACTATAAATAGACATTTGTTGAGTGAACTGAGCAACTGATGGTTCCTAGGAAGCTTACTTGATCGTTCCTGTCAGAGGACTTCTAGAGGAGTTGTATTGAGGGGCTCGGTGTGCTGGCGGGCTAGCCCTCGAGATTGCAACTTTGGAGACCTGTGAATAGAGAAATAGCCTCCTGATGGTTCAGTAGAAAACTTAACAGTCTCTTGGTCCCTTGTTTGCAGCTTCCTGAGGGATGCTATGGGCTGATGACCGCTGATGGTAAATAGAGTTATACAGGCCCAGTAAAATAATAGTTCACCTAAGGAATCCAGTATCAGTGGAAACAACAATAGAATGCACAGAATAGGAAACTCCTATTCAAACAGTTCTTTGAACTATTTAGATTATAGTTTTTGCAAAAGAAAGAAATAATAAGCACATTTAGGGAGGCTCAACTAGAGGACAAAGAAACTTTCTAGAACAGTCAAGATCTTAACATTATAAAAATTCTGTTGCCAAACTGAAAGAGGAGTGTCACTGTTGAGAGTGAAATTAACATCTTGCAAATTAAGTGCAAGAAGTATCTTAAAATACAGAACAAAATTAAAGAGGTGGTAGTCAGGAAGGAAAAAATAGGGACTAGGAGAAGAAATTTATGCAGGGAAAAATTCACTAGCATGTGAGTAAAAGCTGTAGAAGGAAATCAAAGAATAGATATGGCAGTTGATTAACTTAGTAATAGGGGTAGTTTACTACAGCTCCATGATTACCACAAACTGGGTGACTTAGAAATTGTCTCACAGTTTTGGAGTAGTTAGTAGAGTTGGTTCTTTCTGAGGACTGTGAGGGAAGGATCTGTTTCAGGTCTTCTTTCCATGACTTGTAGTTGACTCTCTCCTCCATGTATTTTTTCACATCATCTTTCCTCTATGCATGTCCATCTCTGTGTCCAAATTTTCTCTTTTTATAAGGACACCACTCATTTTGAATTAGAAACCACTCTAATGACTTCATTCAAATTTGATTACCTCTATAAAGGCTCTATCTTCAGATTAAATCACATTCTGAGATACTGAGGTTTAGAACTCTAACATACCTTTTTTGCGGGGAGAGATACGGTTCAATCCATAGCAAGGGGAACTTTTCTGATCTTAAGAAAAGATTTGGCAAGGAGTTCTTCCCAAGGACTCACTGATCCCAAGGAGAACAGACTTAAGAACTTTAAAACATAGAAATCCTTGAGTCTTTCCAGCTCCCAGATGGAAAAAAGGGATTACTCACAACTGAAAAAAGCATCAGAAAAACAATGGACTTTTGTTTTAATCCTCACCTGAGGATATGTTTTTTCTTTTTCTTTTCTTTTTTTAAAAATATATTTTATTGATTTTTTACAGAGAGGAAGGGAGAGGGACAGAGAGTCAGAAACATCGATGAGAGAGAAACATCGATTAGCTGCCCCCTGCACACCCCCTACTGGGGATGCGCCCGCAACCAAGGTACATGCCCTTGACCGGAATCGAACCCAGGACCCTTCAGTCCCCAGGCCCGACGCTCTATCCACTGAGCCAAACCGACCAGGGCGGATATGTTTTTTCTTGATTTTAGAGAGAGAGGAAGGGAGAGAGAGAGGGAGAGTGGGAGGAGGGGGGAGGGAGAAGCATTGATGCTAGAGAGAAACATTGATAGGCTGCCTCCCATATGTGCCCAGACTGGGGACTGAACCTGCAACCTAGGTATAGGGTGTCCCAAAATTCACGCAAGAAGTAATTTTGATAGAAAACACAGGGTTATAATTAAAAATTGTAAATTTTTTATTGATTCATAAAGTATACAGTATAGGGTTATGTATGGAATAGCACATCGGGTAAATGGCCTCCACAGCTTTGCTGGCACATACGCAAAGCCGTGGTCTTCATTGGTCTTCATTGTCCCTGCTCCTGGGCCATAATTGGTACTTGATAATGCTTATCAAATTGAAGGGATTGAAATCAAAGGGCAACAGATATTAGCATATGATTCAATAAACCAAGTAAAATTAGGCTTTTATTTTTTTGTTGTTGTTGTTAATGCTCACGCAAAATTCAAATCTTGCGTGAATTTTGGGACACCCTATATATGTCCTAATCAGGAATTGAACCTGCAACTTTTTTGGTGTTTGGGACGATGCTCCAACCAATAAAACCACCTGGCCAGGGTAACAATGGACTTCTTACTTCATCATTAAAAGATAGAAGACGTTAAAAAAAAATCCACAAACAACTGAAAGACTGCTATATTGAGCTAATGCATCATTCTCCTATTTGAAAAAATACATTTTTCCATATGCAGGGATCAGAGTTTATTACTTACATATTTCACCTGAAGAAAATAATTGAAAAAAGTCTCCTAACCAAACAATTGAGTCAGAAGAGATATTCAAGAAAGGGCAAGATAAAGGGAAGAGGAAACTGGTATATATAGGAGTAAGCAATATATACTAGTACATTGTGGTATATATTTAAATTTACACATACATTTATACTTAAATGGATGGTGAGATAACATAAGTGCTTAGAAAATAGTAAGGATTCTTGAATTATATGAACAATATTAAGAAAACTAACCACATAACAGCAAAAAACAGTTAATAGGGTGAAGAAGTGAAAACATTTTAGGAGTTTTGCCTTGCTGGGTAGAGAGAGAGATGGTGTAAATGTAGGGTCTCGGTGGGGAAGGAATTTAGTTTTATTGTTTTGTTCAGATAGTACAGTGATAGTAGGATGGAAAAAGTGAAATTTTAACACTGACAATGGGAAAAAAAGAGTATGAATGATAATTTCATCCAGTCAGAAAAAAATAGAAAAAGAATAAGAGGAAACTAAAGAAAGTAAGGTGAATACTAATCAAAGTAAGATGGAAGGGAAAACTCAAGTTCTTACACTAACTGTGAATGAGGTGAATTTCCCCATTGAAAGACGGACATGTTCAAATTGGGCTATTCAGAAAAACAGAAAAAAATAAAAATTCTAGGTGTATGTTGTTTAAAGACAGTCTTTAAAAAAGTGATAAAGGTTGAAAAGTGGCGGATTGTGTTAGATGGATAGGCAAGATGATTCCAGGAAAGTCCAAAGCAAATAAAAACACTTCAAAACACTTTATTTACTTAAAAGAGAAATTTAAGATCCTTTAATGGTACAACGTGAAGTATTACGAAATGATAAAAATTGATTTTAGAAAAAGATGTGTCAAAGTTCATACTCAACAATGTAACATCTAAGTATATAAATAAAAATTCTATTATTCAGTGACTTAGCCCTTCCCAGAAAAATCTTTCTGATCAATGATTAAAACCCTTATGTATGTTGAAGAATTTCCTTACTGCAAATTATTCTACAGCTTTAATTTTATGCCTTTTATCTGTCCCAAGATCTAAGTAAACTTGACAAAGATGTTAGATTTGTACAGAAGTTTACTTTCAATTTTTTGCCTGGAAGCATCTAGACAGAATTTTATGTGCAAAAGAGAGTATTTACATCTGAAAATTAGGCATTTAAAATTAAAATGATTTTAGCATTGTAGGTGGCTACAGGGAAGAGTTATTGAAGTTTATTTTTGTTTTGGCAGTGTGAATTAATTAATTCAGAATTCCAAGATTTTATAGTTTGTTTTTATAGCGTGTATTATTTACAGAAATATCAATTTTCTGGCAGTTTTGCAAATGATCTGCTCTGTGTAACAAAAATTTGTTTTCCAGCTTTATAAAATATATTTTAAGATTAAGAACAGACCACATATGCACACACACAAAAAACACACACTTGAAGACCAACTTTTGACTCTCCTGTCAAGGGTTTTCATTTGTGGCAAATATAAACTTAAGAATAACCACTAACATTTGTATAATGTTTTGCAGTGAATAAAGCATATACATTTTTACATATTTTATCTTATTACAATATAATTCATATGGTAACACTCAAGACTTGAGTTGTCAATTCTGATTCAGTGAATCATAGATTTTACCCAACACCAAACTTTGCTAATGATTCAAAGAATACAGGCAAGCACCAAGTACAGATGGAATATTCCTTTTTTCTAGAGGAACCCCAGCGGTTAGACACAGATTCCAGAAATGCTCTTTTCTTCTGCATTAGGAAATGTTATGATTTTGTAATAGTTTTGAGCAATGTGTGCAAAAATTGCACAAAGGAAGTTATTTAGGTTTTGGGATCTCCTGTGTTGTTGTTGTTGTTGTTAATCCAAACCCAAGGATATTTTTTCTATTGATTTTTAGAGTAGGAATGAGGGAGGGAGTGAGGGATGGAGGGATGGGGGAGGGAAGGAGGGAGAGAGGACGAGAGGGAGAGAGAGAGGTGAGAGAGAAGAGAGACACATGGATTCGTTGCTTCCCTGACCTACTGTGGTGAGGATCAAACCTGCAACCCAGGTATGTGCCCTTGATTGGGAGTGGAACTTGTGACCCTCCACTGCTTGGCCAACATTCTAACTACTGAACACACTGGCCAGGACTCTTTTTTATTTTCTTAATTCCACAGCTTACTTGACTGTCTAGGTAGGTACTCTTTGTTTATTAGGATCCTGGTTGAAGTCCCTTATTTTTTAAATTTATTGATGAGAGAGAGAGAGAGAGAGAGAGATATTTGTTATTCCACTTATTTATGCATTCACTGGTTGATTTTTATATATGTCCTGACCTAAAATCTAACTGCAACCTTGGCTTATCAGGATCATATTCTAACAGGCCTGGGCTGGTTATGATCTTTTATTCCTTCTTTGCCTTCTAGGGAGTGTGAGTTACTAGCCTGCTATTAACCCTTTCCCTCCCAATGCATGAGAGTGGTGGAGTTTGTTCTATATGGAAAATTTTGCTAAAGTAATCTTCAAAATTTTCCTTCCATAAATTTTTAATATTTTCAGTTTTGGGGTTTATGCTTGGGAAAATGAGCAATTAAAATGGACACTTGTTAGATTGTTTAATTTCTTCAGAGTTTATATTGCTAAATATCAATAAGGATGACAGGCTATCCCTAAATAATACATAGTTTTATTTCAAATTAATCTCATATTTCATCATAAGAATCTGTAAGTGTATGTTCAAAACTGCTGCCCCTTTAATAGAAAAATGAAATGGTTGGGACTTGAAAATTTTATTAAGAACTAAGGCTGCTTCAATTTAGAATAAGTCACATGATGGTATGGATCCATTTTACCTTTAACAAAGCGAATATGTATGGTTCTCTTATTCATTGTTTTCTATAACCATTCTTTGTGTGTGTGTGTGTGTGTGTGTGTGTGTGTGTTTTATATTTTAATAGGTATTGGCTAGATAGGAATATAGAAAAGAAAAAAAAAAGGTCCCCAGCTGATTCTAAGGTTGAGCCATGGTTGAGAACCACTGTTCTAGAATGGTGTTCTCAAACATTATAGTCTCAAGGTCTCTTCACATTCTTAAAAATTATTGAGGCCCTGGCCAGTGTTGCTCAGTGATCACAGTGTTAGCCTCTCTGTGCACTGAAAGGTCACAGGTTTGATTCCTAATCAAGGGCTTGTACCTGGGTTGCAGGTACAAGATTCCAGGCCCCAGTCAAGGCGAGTGCAGGAGGCAACTAATCTCTCTCTCTCTAACCATTCTTGATGTTCGACTTACACTGAGGAGATACCTCAAGGCTAGTAACAGGTTTTTAAAAAATATCCTTTAGGAAACTTTTATTCTTAGGGAAACTTATTCACTTGCTAGGCCAAGAGCCAAAAAAAGAAAAAAAAAAAAAAAAAAGAAAGAAAGAAATAAATAAAGAAGAAAGAAAAAACCTTAATATAGAAAAACGGTTATTTGTCTCAAAATTCCTTTTCAAGTAGACTTGTGAACAAATATGTTTGCTGAGTTTACTTAGATCTTAAGTCAGTTAATAAGAAAATTAAAGATGTCAAAAAATTCATAGCAATGAATACACCCAGGGATTCTCATTGTTAATGAGATAAAGATTATACTTTGAAAGGATCAAAATCATAGAATAGGATTTTGAAATTGCTAGAACTTTAAGAAGTCTGTTAAACCAGCTCACTTATTTTAAAAAGAAGAAATGCCAAACATATAGTTATTAGAGTTGGGACATTGAATCTGTTTCTTTTTCTTTTTTTTTGATTCGGGCCCAGATGCTATAACTGACTCTACATATGTGTTGTTTGGTTCTTTAGTAATAGCGACAGGCCTCACTCTGAGTTTTCTTCCAAGATTGTATTTATTTATTCACTAAGTAATTGTTTTTCAGATTTTGCAAGAAAACCTTTTAAAGATGAATGAAAGACAATTGGAAACTCTACAGCAGCGGAAACTTCCTGAATGGATGTCTATGCAGAATAAGAGGTGTGCTGTAGAAGAAGGAAAGGTATGTAGTTCATCAATTTTTCCTTCAGATGGGAAATTTATGTAAACTTGACTGTAAAATGAGTCAGTCAGTCCTTTTTTAAACTTCAGGTCATTATTTAAGTTAGAGTAGCTATTGTGTAAATGAACAAGAATCTAGTCATTGACTGAGTGAATGGGATTACCTTTCACTTGGGTTTACAGAATGAGAATTCTTACTCTGTACTTTCCTTTTTTATCTAGTTTGCATGGTTGACCTTACTAGTTTGTTGCAATTCATATAATTTAGACAGTATTTACTTTGCTGAATTTTTATGATTGAGCAAATTTAGGTCCTCATAGATTTAAGATCCATCAACCAGTCTTTAGCATTTTATGGCAGCATTATTACATCTTGAATCCTATATAATAAAATATGCTAAGTGTCGACTGTTTGGTCGACCGCTATGATGCACATTGACCACCAGGGGGTAGATGCTCCAACTGGTAGGTTAGCTTCCTGCTGGGGTCCAACTGGTAGGTTAGCTTCCTGCTGGGGTCCAGCTGGTTGGGACTGGGGGTTGGGATTGGGCTAGAGGGCTGGACACACCCTGGAGCCCTCCTACGGTCCCTCCCCAGTCGGCTGGCCCCCATCGGCCTGATTGGGACTGGGCGAGACAGCCTCGATCAGCCCCAATTGCCGGCCAGGCCGAGGGACCCCACCAGTGCACGAATTCATGCACTGGACCTCTAGTACTAATATAATTACAGAAAAAAAGTCAATAAAATAAATGTTTTTATGAAAATGGCATTAGAAGTTTGCAAATACACTTGCTAGAAAAATAACTTTGCAGTGGATGGCTTTATCTTTGTTACATTGTCTTTATGACTTCATTAAGCTATAAAATATTAGTTATTAAAACTTAGAACTATAATTTGAATGTTTCAAGGAGCTTTGTTATTCCAATGAACATTTATTATTTAATGTGAACTTTATTTGCACCTTTTCGTCATTTTGTTTAACTCAAGGCATCTGTTCAGAAGAGTGTTTTTGAAGATGACCTCCCCTACTTGGAATTCACTGGATCCATTGTGTATAGTTATGAACCTAATGATTGTTCTTTCCTATCAGAAGATATTAGGTAAGAGACTTGAATTTCCTAGTTTCATTGGAATTTGGACCTTAGAAGATTACTAATGTAATATTTGAAGTATACTGAGTTTTGCAGTTGAGGTGTGTTCAATGGATAATTATTTATATATGTAGAATATCACTGATAAGTTTTAATTCTTTTTTAAGTAAAAACTTAAAATTACTGAATTAAATTACTTGTTTGCCTGTTTGTTCATTCATAAGCCTTTGTACTACTTTAGCTAATTATTTTACTTTCAACACTTAAGATAGAACTACTGAATATATTATGTTTATTTCACCAACTTAGGAAAAAAACGCAAGAATTATTCAAACTCCAAGTGCCCCTTTATATTTCAGGAAAACTAGAGGCCCGGTGCATGAAATTCATGCACTCTGGGGCGGGGGGAGGAAATCCCTCAGCCTGGCCTGCCCCCTCTCGCAGTCCGGGAGCCCTTGGGGGATGTCCGACTGATGGCTTAGGCACACTTCCCATGGGCTATGCTTGTCAGCCGTGAGCCCGGCTTCTGGTTGAGCAGTGTTCCCCCTGTGGGAGTGCACTGACCACCAGGGGGCAGCTCCTGCATTGAGCGTCTGCCCCCTGGTGGTCAGTGCACATCGTAGCGATCAGTCATTCTGCCGTTCAGTCAATTTGTATATTAGCCTTTTATTATATAGTATACCAACATAGTAGTATTGAATAATGGTTGTGATTGGCTCTGTTGAATTTAGTTAACAACAATTACAGCAAATGGTCCTTAAAATAACATTTGAAATGACTGTTAATAGTTTTAAAAATTGTCTTGTTAAAATAAGACTCTGCAATAATTCAGTTTAAAGCTCTTGGAACTATTTTACAAGGAGTAGTAGTAGAGAATTGATTCAGGTCTTTTTTGAAGTTGTTATATCAGTTTTGTTTTAAACTATTTTACATTGGGTTAAAAGAAGCAGAGTTAAAGTAAGGTACTTATTAATGGTTTTCTGGTGGTAGGTGTATTCTAGGAATAGCATTCAGGTGTCCTCACTCCCATTATAGTTCCCTTGAACTTTCTGGATCTATTTATAGTTTTATCAGATTTAAAACTTCAAATGTTTTTTTCTTTTATCCTGTTACTCTTTTTCTCCTTCTGGCACTCTCTATGGACACAAGTTAGATAGCTTGATACTATGTCATTGGTCCTGAGGTTCTCTTTCCTTTCAGTCTTTTTTGTTGTTGTTTTTCTTTCTTTTTCTCTCTGTGTTTCAGTATGTATATAGTCTCTTTTGCCATGACTACAAATTCACTTATTTTGTTGTGTAGTGTCTGACCTGTTATCCCATCCTGTAAATTTTTATTTTTATTGTATTTTTCCTCTGTAGAACTTCTATACTTTAAAATATGTTCCATTTTGGCTCTCATCATATTCATGTTTTCTTTTTCTTTTTCTTAAAAGTATATTTTTATTCATTTCAGAGAGGAAGGGAGAGAGATAGAAACATCAATGATGAGAGAGAGTCATCAATTGCCTGCCTCCTATATGCCACACACTGGGCATTGAGCGCGCAATCCAGGCATGTGCCCTGACTGGAAATCAAACCCTGACCTCCTGGTTCATAGGTGGATGCTCAACCACTGAACCACACTGGCCAGGCCTCATGTTTTCTTTTAAATCTTTGAACATAGTCTGCATATTTATAATTTCCTTGTCTGTTAATTTCATTATTCTAATTATTTTTTTCTATTAAGTGATTTTTATACTAGTTTATGTGTCACATTTTTCTGTTTATTCTCATGGCTGGGAATTTTTGATTGGACATTGTGATTTTATCTTGTTGAATGCCAGATTTTATTGTTTTCCTTCAAAGAAAGGAGCTTTGCTCTGATGGGCAGTATCAGCTTTACATTTTGAGGCTCACTTTTAAGCTTTGCCAGGGTAGGTTTTTACAGTAGCTTTTACTTTAGGGAGTAATTTAGCCATCTAATAAGGTGTGAGCCTTCTGGTGTCTTTGCTGACTGCTCCAGGTGATCAGCAAGAATCCCTTCGCTGACTTTTCTGAACTTGAATGCCTCTTATTTCTATGTAAGCCCTGGGAATTGTTAAGCTTACTTTCACTGATTGTTCTTTGTCCAGCCTCATAGTTTCACTCTGTGCTTGAATGTCCGTACCTGCCTTGTTTCCTCCTCTCTAGAACTCTACCCACAACTTCCCCCTGCTTCAACCTCTCTGGCCCTGACCCTGTCTCCCCAACACAGTGCTGTGCTTTGCATCTTCTCCCTTCTTGCTGTCTGGAAAGTGTTCCAGGCAGACAGCTGGGGTGGCAGTAGGGCTCACCCTTTATTTCCCTTCCCTCAGAGAGCACAGTCCTGTACTGCCTATTGACAAGTGTCTGAAAACTATTGTTTATATGTTTTGTCCAATTTATTTATTTACTAGAGGCCTGATGCACAAAATTTGTGCAAGAGTAGGCCTTCCTTCCCTCAGCTGTTGGCACTGGTTTCCCCTGGCACCTGGGACCCAGGCTTCCCTTCAGCTGCTGGCAGGCATCCGGGACCTGGGCTTCCCTCGCAGCCCCAGCTAGTCTGGAAGGACATCCGGTCTAATTAGCATATTATGCTTTTATTATTATAGATTTATTTTGAAATTATTGACTTCAGAAATAGGAAGGGAGAGGGAGACAAAGATAGAAACATCAATGATGAGAGAGAATCATTGATCCGCTGCCTCCTGCACACCCCCGACTGGGGATTGAGCCCCCAACCCGGGCCTGTGTCCTGACTGGGAATTGAACCATGACCTCCTGGTTCATAGGTTGATGCTCAACCATGGAGCCATACTGACTGGGCTATTTTGTCCAATTTTTTATTTGTTCAGGGAAGAAAGGTATGTCTGATCACTGTTATTCCATCTTGACCCAAAGCAGAAATTGCATTGAAATTTGTTTTTAAAATACATTTTTAATTTTTAAAAATTGTGAAACAGACAAATGTAAACAGTAATAGATAATAATATAAGCACTACTTATATATATCCCACTTAGCTTTATCAAATCTTAATATTCATTTTCTTCAAATCTTTATTAAGAAATGAAATGAAATATTGCTGAAGCCCCCTCTATGCCCTTTCTGATTCTCCCCTCCACAGCCCACTGAGATAATTTCTTTTATTATTTTTTTTTTAATATTTATTTGCATTTATTGAGTTAACATTGATTAACAAAAATTTTATAGTTTCAAGTATACAATTCTATAATACATAATCTGTATAGTGTATTATGTGTTCACCACCCAAAGTGAAGTCTCCTCCCATCACCATTTATCTCCCCTTTAACCTTCTCTACCTCCCCCACCCCCTTTCCCTCTGGTAATCTCCATACTATTGTCTGTGTCTATGAGTTTTTAACCTTTGCTAAATCCCTTCATCATTTTCACCCAGCCCCCTTTCTCCTCCCCTCTGACAGCTGTCAGTCTATTCTCTGTATCAATGAGTCTGTTCCTATTTTGTTTGTTAGTTTATTTTGTTCATTAGATTCCATATATAAGTGAAATCATATGGTACTTGTCTTTCTATGACTGACTTATTTCACTTAGTATAATACTCTTCAGGTCCATCCATGCTGTCACAAAAGGTAAGATTTCCTTTTTTACACATAATATTCTATTGGGTAAATGTACCACTTTTCCCCCCCAGTCATCTACTGAAGGGCACTTGGGCTGCTTCCAAATCTATTGTAAATAATGCTGCAATAAATATACTGATGCATCTATTCCTTGGAATTAGTGTTTTGGAGTTTGCAGATATAATCCCACAAGGGGAATCCCTTGGTGATAAGGCAGTTCCATTTTTAATTGTTTGAGGAACCTCCATAATGTTTTTCTACAGCAGCTGCACCAACCTGCATTCTCATCAACAATGCACTGGGGTTCCCTTTCCTCCACATTATTTTCTTTATTATTATTACTAGAGGCCTGGTGCATGAAATTCGTGCACTGGAGGGGGGTTGTCCCTCGCCCAGCCTGAACTATCTCCAATCTGGGACCCATAGAGGGATGTCCGACTGCCAGTTTAGGCCCGATTCCTGCAAGCCTGGTCCCCCCTCCCCAACTGCCCTCCCCTGCAGGCCTGAACTCCCCTCAACTGCTCTCCCCTGCCTGTTGGGGTCCAACCCCAGCAGGTCCAGGGGTCCCCAAAGGTGTGGATGGAGTTGGCGAAGAAGGAATGACACGGAGACAGCCTTCAGTTGATCAGCAGCCTAGCCAGGACCTCTAGCCAGGATCTCCAGCCAAAGTTCTGGTTAGGATCTGATGAGGATCTCGAGATAACTTCTGTCATGAGGTCAATGTTTAGCATTCCCTCACGTTTTCTATAATATTCATAATCTTATGCTTCAAAATATCATATAGTTTTTGCCTATTTCAAAACTTTAAAAAATGCTCTCACTTTATATGTATATTTTGGCCACTTGTCTTTTTCACTCAACATTTTATGTTTTTGAGATTTTTTGGTGTATATAGTTCTATTTTAACCTTTATTTAATATTTTATTATTTCATTATGCCACAATTTGTCCATTCTTTTCTTGATGGAAATGTAGTTTGTTTCCATTTTTGTCAGTAGTAACAGTATTGTAATGAACATCCTTAGACATTTCTGTCTGGTGGTGCACATAGAGTTTCATATATTTATGAGAAAAACTTGCCAGGCGATAGTGTTTATACATCTTTAGCTAGAGATTGTCAAAGCTTTTGCCAAGAGGATGTTAGCAAGTTAAACCTTCACCAGTATATGAGTGGTCCCACGGGTAGATATCCTTCTCAGCACTTGATGTTGTGCGGCTTTAACTTTTGCTGGTCAGATAGCTGTGATATTGTATAGATTTAATTTGCATTGCTATGATTTCTAGTCAGGTTTCATGTCTTCACGGGCTTATTTGGTTTTCTTGGCCATTTGGACTTCCTTTTGGGAATTGACTGTTCATGTCTTTCTCCTTTTTTTCACTGGATTATTTGTGTGTGTTTTTTGTGTAACTTTTCAAGGACTTGTTCATATTTTCTGGCTATTCACTAGCAGTTGTATTTATCACAGGTATCTTCTACCAACTGTGGCTTGTCTTTTAACTTGTTGAATGCCATCTTTAGTTATGCAGAAGTTGACATTTAATATAACTAATTTGCACTATTTTCCCCTGTAGCATGAGTCTGTCTGATGGAGATGTGGTAGGATTCGACATGGAATGGCCACCAGTATACAGTAAAGGGAAACTGAGCAGAGTTGCACTAATTCAGTTGTGTGTGTCAGAGAGCAAATGTTACTTGTTTCATATTTCCTCTATGTCAGGTTGGTATCCCTTCTCTTTGTTTCATTTTTTATGTTGTAGATAACTATATTATGTTAACTTTTTCCCTATAAAATTAAGTTCTTGAATTAGCTGGCACTTCTTTCATTACCTTATGTTTATTTAAGTATTTATGTTCCACCTGATTCACTCATATCCCTGTTTAATTTTCACATCTCTTTCAGACATTGAGATTATTCCTGCTTAGAGGGTAAAGAACTGGAGTTTAGAGGGGCAAAGGACCAGAAATATACCATTAGTGTTAGCAGAGGTAGCATTCAAAGTAGTTGTTTTTCTTGTCACCAATCAGGGCTTTTTGCTTTAGGTAAAAAAGGAAATACTCAAGGTGAATGTATTTCTGAATTTTGACTTAACATGAACATAAATACAAATATAAAAATATAATATGTCAGAAGTAGAAAATAAATCCATCGTACCTGATAGAGCCTATGAAAATGATAATAAAATGTTACAGTTTTTCCTCAGGGATTAAAAATGTTGCTTGAAAATGAAGCAATTAAAAAGGTTGGTGTTGGAATTGAAGGAGATCAGTGGAAACTTCTACGCGACTTTGACATCAAATTGAAGAGTTTTGTGGAGCTAACAGATGTTGCCAATGAAAAGGTAGTGATAATACATATATTATTTTCACAAACAAGATAAATTTGTGTTTCATAGAATGTCCCTTCAATCTGAATGTTAGACTTTAAAAAAAATAATTTAAGCTGTATGGTTTTGTAATAAAGAAGTCCCAAGTGAGTGTTTCATAATGAGAGCCTTCAGTTCTAATCTATTGCCTTAGCAAATAGTTTCTTTAAGTAAGTACCTCCCCCATATTAGTACTGTTTCACATATTTTCAAATTTAAATACTGTATTTTAAGTTTATTTTGTTAATCCATTTATATCAATACCCAATACCTTTTTTTTTTTTTTTAAAGGAAGAGGCTAATGCAGCTCTTGTGGTAGGATGCTCTTACCATCAATAGAACTTTGACCATCAATTCCATCAACCATATTTCACATATTTTATTAATGTAGTCATTAGGTTAAATTCTCATATTTAGCCAAGTATGGCTGGGAAGTAGAAAGCGTACCAATCTATTCAATTCTTTTCCATGAACAATACTTTTATAGTCTAAGAATTTTAACTACAGTGGGGAATTAAATTCTTAAAATATAGGCTGCAAATGAAATTTTTAATGACAAAATTAAAGACTATCTATGCTTTATATTTTGGTATAATATTTCCAACTTTATATATAGCATGGTCATTTGGTAGTATTTAGGAATATATGAAAATAGAAGGGAGTAATTTTTGCTATGTTGGTTGTTCATTATTTCTAGCTAAGAAGTACAGAGACCTGGAGCCTCAATGGTTTGGTTAAACACCTCTTCGGTAAACAGCTTCTTAAAGACAAGTCTATCCGCTGTAGCAATTGGAAAAATTATCCTCTCACTGAGGTCCAGAAACTGTATGCAGCTACTGATGCTTATGTACGTACCAAAGATTTTTAGACTATGATGTATATTTTAAATCTAACATAATTTACTTTAAAAAATTTGTTGTGGTAGTGGCACAAACCCAACTAAGATATTTCAAATCAGTTTGGCATTAAAAATGTTAGGAAAGCATTTAGTGAAGCTGTTAAGTCTCAATATTAATTAACAAGTACCAATCAGCAGATTGTTCAATGCTAGTTATTTTTATTGTCATGAAGCCAAAATAATGTCCAATCTGTATGTAAAAAATGTGAGTTCTCTGAAAACATGAAAGGCGAATAAGCTGAGACTGAGTACGCACAAATGGTATTGATGATATGTTTGATTTATAAGCATCTTCAGAATAAAAATAATTACAAGACAGTTTCTATATGGAAGCTGGCCTTATTTCATATATTTATATTTAAAACGTGGTAAAATTTAGAAAAATTGCCTCCAGATTTAGTTTTTACTGCTGTTAGTCAGATGCATTTTCATATTTATATATTTGTACGTAGTGAAATCTGGGCTTATCTTTATATATAGCACTATCAGTATTTTTTTTTCAAGCAGCATATTTTATGTTCCAGTGAATTTCTTTTTCCCTAATTTATACTTCCACTTGTACATGAATATCGTTTTTCCCCCTTTTTTGGGGGGTGTGTGTGTCTATTTTTTAGGAATAGAAACTCCTTCTATTTATAAACAAAAAAAGTCAGTTTTGTTGGAAAATAGGTTGGTAATTGTCCTTTATGTTCTGTTAAAAAAAATCATAAAACTTGTTGAGAACTAGCTCAAATTCTGTAGCATTTTTACTTATGGAAAATCAGTATGACTTGATTGTATCAACAGTAGCCAGAAGGAGGATTGTTTTATACGCCTATTAACACTCTCAGCTGATTTAATGAAATAGGCATAATGGGTATCTGTAGTCAAAACATACTTCTCTTGAGTGTATTTTATTAAATTCCATTCCTGAGTTATTTGGTTGGATACCTGCTTGTGATATTAGATGTTGAAACATGAGAACTTAAACATTTATTTTAAATCATAGGCTGCTTACTTTCTCCATTCTCATAATTGTTGTGGTGAATAAATGAAGACATTTATATCTCTGCATAACATAATGGGTTGAATTTAGGTTTTTGGGTGCTTTGGGAATCATTGTTTTGGATTTTTGTAAAGATGGGTCATAATTTTGGGGATCGTTAGTATGCTCTTTTCATTTTTCTGTTTTCCCATAGGCTGGTTTCATCATTTATCAAAAATTACAAATTTTGGGTGATGCTGTGCAATTGTTTTCCATAAATAAAGGTATGTTATGATCTAAAAATAAAAAATTTGACTTTGCTCTTTTGTGAGGTTTAGCTCAAAAAAGACAATATTCACACCTGTGCAAAGTATTTCGTATTGTTACAACTTCTTGAATACTGAGCAGTTTTGACATTAGTTTAACAACTATTTGGCCAAGGCTTAGGGTTTCTGGCATGTTACTGTGGCAAAGCAGGACTTTCTGCTTTCTCTCCGTAGCATTGCTGCTTATTAGGCTTCTGTAGTTGGGGTTTTGTGGCTTCACTATGTGGGGATACAGGAGTGTGAATCTGTTTCCTGAGAGGATAACCTCTCGTTTTGTGGGAGATAAAGATGAATAAAAAAGGTAATTGCAGTGTGGGTAGATGAGTCCTTTGATGTGGGAAAACAAGGTGCTGTGGTTAGCACATGGGAGAGGCATCCCGTGCATATTTGGAGGTACTAGAGAATATTTCTGGATAAAGTGATATTTAAGGCAAGACCTATGAGCACGAGTTAGCTAGCTGAAAAGCAGAGGAAAAGTGTTACAGGCACAGGAGGTAACAGGTGCAAAGTTTCAGAGGTAAAGAGAAATCCTGGTATCTATGGGCAATTGAAAGTAGTGCAGTGTGATGAGCTATTGAATATGACAGGGTAAGGAATGAAGCAGAGGCAGAAAAAGAAAAGCACATAAGTCATGTTAAGGAGTTTACATTTCCTCCTAAGAGTTATGGAGGGTTTTAAACCACAGAGTGACATGAATTACATTAAATAATAACTTGGGCTGTAGAGCAGAAAATGGATTGTAGGAGGCAGGGGTCCCAGTGGGAAGAAGACCTAGTAGGAGGCTGTGCCAGTAATCCAAGTGAGAGGTGATGGTGACCTGACTTGGTTGCTTGGATTTATTCAGAGTAGATTCAATAGAGCAGTAGACTCAACAGAATTTGATGTTGAAGATGAGAGCCATGTGTCTGTCAAGTATCACTCCTGTGTTGTTGGCATGAGCAACAGGGATGAAGAGCATTGAAGAGTTGGAGCAATATTTGGGGATGCGGTGTCATACAGTTGATATTATGTATATTAAATGAAGGAAGCCTGTGTGATAGCAAAGTGGAGGTAGCCAATAGACACTTAGATATGCAGCCTATAACTTGGAAGACAGTTTGAGTTAAAAATTAAGAATTGGGAGTTGGAGATAAAGAATTGGGTCTAAGCCAGTGATGGCGAACCTATGACACGCGTGTCAGAGGTGACACGTGAACTCATTTTTTTGGTTGATTTTTTTTTGTTAAATGGCATTTAAATATATAAAATAAATATCAAAAATATAAATCTTTGTTTTACTATGGTTGCAAATATCAAAAAATTTCTATATGTGACACGGCACCAGAGTTAAGTTAGGGTTTTTCAAAATGCTGACACTCCGAGCTCAAAAGGTTCGCCATCACTGGTCTAAGCCCTAGCCAGTTTGGCTCAGTAGATAGAGCATCGACCTGCGGACTAAAGGGTCCCAGGTTTGATTCTGGCCAAGGGCACATGCCCAGATTGCGGGCTTGATTCCCTCAAGTAGGGGGCATGCAGGAGGCAGCCAACCAATGATTTTCATCATTGATGTTTCTATCTCTATCTCTCTCCCTTCCTCTTTGAGGAACTCTTAGTATTTAATATTCGCATGGAGGAGGGGACAAGAGAGGAGTAGCCATAAGAATAGAAGGAAATTAGGAGGTGCGGTGTGCAGAAGGCGAAGTGCAGAACATGTTTTAAGTAGGAGGATGTTATCAACTGTTTTAAATTCTGCTGAAAGTTTGAGAAACTGGGGACTTAATAATTAGATTTGGCAACATGGCAATTTTTTGTAACCTTTTACTACAGCAGCTTTGGTGTACTGGGTGACAAAAGAATATTTCAATGAGAAAGTGGTCCTATAGGGCATTTGCCCTTAAGACAGAAAAGGGTCCACGGGCTTTGGTACATGAAGGTGCGATAACCTTAGTGAAGTAGTGGAATGGTGTGTGTGGAAATCATATTAACATGAACAGAGGACTAAGTTAGATCTAAGGAATGTGAGAAACAGGTGTAAACAACTTTTTTTTAGAAGCTTGGTTTGGAAAGGGAATATTTGTTTCTGTAACATATTTGTTGGATGTTTATTATGGCTCAGGCACTGTTTCGGTTGCAGGGGAAATTCACTGAAGGAAACAGACCAAGTGCCTTCACTTCATTTGACGGAAGTGGGAGGGAAGGAGCCACATGGATATTTGAGGGTAGGAGATAGCAGGCATAGAGGGAAGAAAGAGCAAAGCCTCTCAGGGTGATAGCTTGCCTTGTGTGAGGAATAGTGAGTATAACTGAAGTGAAATGAGTAAGGGTGAGAGTAGCAGGAAATGAAGCTAGAAAAGTAGCTTGAGCCAGATAGATCATTTAGGGCCTTATAGGCTATGAATCTGACTTCATATTTTATTAATTAAAATAAATACAGTGATAAGTGATGGGAACACCCTTACAGGATTTGGAGCAGGAGAATGACATGATTAAAATTTTATTTTAAAAGGATTTTTTTCTGGCTGCTATAAGAGGGCAAGTGTTTAGGCAGGGAAGTCAGTCAGGAGGCTATTGTAATAGTCTAGGCAAGAGACAGTAATTGTATGGATTAGGCTGTTAGCAATAGAGATGAGAAGTGGTAGATTCCGTATATATTTTGAAGGTTTATATTGTGAAGGATTTGCTAATGAATTCTGCATAAGGGGTGAGATGTCTAGACCAGGAGAACAATCAAGATATTTTGGTTGGATTAACTGAGTGAATGGAAGGGAAGGATCAGTTAGTTGAAAGATTATGGGGAGGAGCACGTTTTGGTGAGAAAAAAAATCTAGATTTACATTTTGGACAGGCTAAATTTTAATGCTTTTTGATGTCTAAGAAGATATCATAGTTGGAAATGTGATTCCATAGTTAGGGGAAAGGTTGACTTTGGAGATGTAACCTTGGGAATCATACAGATGGTAGATAAACAGTGAAACTGGGTGAGATAAAATAGGGAGTGAGTGGAGTAAAGAACAGAAGAGGCTCAGGTATTGACAGCAAGGGCAGCAAAGAGGACTCTATCCAGGAGGAAGAGAATGCAGCAAAGAGGACTGAGAGGACTGGTAATAATGGAGCAAGTGTAGGAGGTGTGTTCAGACGCCAAGTGAAGAAAAACGGTTTAAGTAGGAGGAAGTTACCAGCTGTTTGAAATACCTTGGAGAGTTTGAGTGAGATGAGGAACTAGAATTAAGTATTAGATTTGACAGTGGGAGGCCATTGGCGACCTTTCCAAAAGCAGCTGTGCTGGTGGAGGTGAAAGTCACTTGGAGTCAGTTTAGGAGAAAATGGGAGGAGAAAATGTCAGACAGTGGGTATGGAGGACTCTTTCAAGAAATTTTGCTGTAGATGGGAGTAGTGATTCTATACAGACTAACTGGCAGATTGGGGGCGGGAAGATGAGATAGTTCTCTTCTTGTTTCTATTTTCTTAGTGAAATAAGAGGTGAGTTGTTCCCTGAGTGAAAGGAGGGACAAGCTGATATTGGAGGCTGGAAGAAAAAAAGAAGTATGAAATAGTCATCTTGAGAGTGGGAAGTGGGAAATGTAGGATGATTAGCAATCATTACTGAAAGTGGGAGGTCTGTGTCATGAATTTAAAACCAAGTGAGGTGAATCATCATAGTTTGTTTTATTTGTGAGTCATCATAGTTGTGTTTTATTTTCATCTATATTCAACTACTTGGGTCCAGGCATCAAGTAGGTAAAAAAGCTGGGTTTCAGTAGAGTAGGGGGTTGATTCAGGTAAGTACCAATGGAGGGATGAAGGAGCAAAAGAGCTGAGTCCATACAAGTGAATGATTAATGTGGGTAAGCAAGGAAAGTAAGACATGGTGAAGAGTGGCAGTGGGAAGGATAATGGGTAAGGAAAAGGTAGAGTCAATGGATTTGGTTCTGAAACTGTGAGAGAACTGTTGTATGGGGAAAGCATCTTTGAAAGAAAGAGAGCATGTTGGTCTTCAGAGGTTGGAATGCTTACAATTAAAGTTTGGAAGTGGTGACTTCATTGGAAGTTATAAGGTCACTAGAGGTACAATGCATGAAATTCGTGCAAGGGTAGGCTTTCCTTCCCCCTTCCGCGGGCACCGGCTTCCCTCTGGCACCCGGGACCTGGGCTTCCCTCGCAGCCCCTGCTTAGTCTGGAAGGTCGTCTGGAAGGATGTCCGGTCTAATTAGCATATTACGCTTTTATTATTATAGATGACTGTGGGAATGGGTGGCTGAGGTCAGTTGAGGAAAAGATAGTTGGAAATGGAGGGATTAGGGAACTGAAAATGCTACACTTTTAGGTGGAGCATTTCTGTGAATGTTGAAATCACTAGGAATTATCACAGGAGCAGCAGTGAAGGGAAAGACAGTGAGCCAGGTGCTGAAAATCTTCCGTGAATGAGAGGCTGTGATTTTGAGATCATAAGATAATTTCAGCAATTAGTAATAACGATGTTAAATGCCTCCGAAGTGCTGGACTTTTTGAAGGACAAGAGCATTGGTAATGAAGAGTAAGAAATTCTAAGCTGGGGAATAGTTTGGGAAATGAGAGCAGATTTTGTGGTGTAAATGGAGAATATGTGCCAGACAGAATGAAGTTGAATGTTTGGAAGATGATCAGTGGTTAGAAAAGCTTGCATTTTATTTTGTTGATGACTGATGAGGGCAGTAAGGAATGGCTGTTGGGTAAGGCTTTGTTTTACCAAACTATATTTAATAAGCAGCCCGTATGGTATTATATTAATTTCTGATTTTAAAATAGTGCAGATGGGTTCAGATTCTCATTTCTGTCTTTCCTTTCTGCCCTGGTTGATAATCACTGTGTTGTAATATGTATGAATGCAGATCATATTGAATTTATTCTAGAATTTAAATAGTAAAATTTGAAAGGGAAGTAAAGTGATTTAGAGACAGGATAAGGAGGTCTTTTGTTGCCATTTATTTAAAGAAAGAAAATGAAAATGTAAGCCCTAATACTGTTTAAATAAATGACTAAATAAATATATCTGCTTTGTGGCTTGCAAATTGATATTGACTCTTTTTTCCAGAGGAAGAAATACTACCTAGTGATGTGAAGAAACAATTGACTTCAATCTCTGAGGAGATGATGGATCTGGCTAAGCATCTTCCTGACACTTTTAGGAAATTGGAAAATCCACAGAGGTTAAATATCATTTTTTAAAATCAATTCTGTTAGTTCTTATTGCATATAAAGAATTACTATTCATTAAGGTAGACTTATATAAGTTTGCTCAAATACAGGCACACAGATCACTGTATAAATTTGAGAACTATCTTTCCAGTTTTAAATTATGCATCAAAAAGTTAAGGGTTTTTCTGTCTGCTTTGTAGGATATCTTAGGAAGCAAAGCAAAATAAAATGAATAAGTCCATCTGAAGGAAAATATTTATTATCCAAAGTTGTCTTTGTGTTTTGGGGCATCTTTCATTTCATTACAGTTTGCTCACTTGAAATCTATAAATAAAAGCAACTCATATACCTACTAGCTTCATTATTCTGGTTATTATCTCATTATTATGTAAGAATTCTACCCAATCAATAGACTATTAGAGTAAGAGACATTCAGATTTAAAAGATCACTTTATAGCTAATGAAAGAGATAATTTGAAATATTTGGATTAATAGACATAGGACATAGGACTGATTGGTGCTGGGTAGCTAACTCCTTTTGGAACCAGGCCTTGACCTAGTCTTAATTGCTGAATGGCTTCCTTGTTAAATCTCTAAAAGCAGGATTGCTCTGGAACAGTGAATGATTTACAATGTGGCAATATAATTTTGAGGCAGAAATACTTTGTAGAAATATGAAGCAGTTAGTTAAAATAGAATTCTGACTGACAAATGAATGTTAATGTATTCTCTGCTGGATGAGATTTGTGATATTTTGATAGAGAGATTTCAAATATGATATAGAAATTCAGCTCTTTTTCAAAGTCATTTTTCCTCTTAGCAATTTTTTTTAGTAGTTTTTATGTAACTTTGAGACTTTGGGAAAGATATACATCTCATTTTTCCCCTCCATGATGTTTATGTACATTTCTGATTTTTTTCCAGCAATTAAAATATCTATGAATGCTTTGTTTTGTAATGCCAAAGATATATAGGTTCCCTTAAAACTTGAGAATGGAAAATACTAGGTTCATTTTTAGTAAAGATACATCTTATAAAGTTTTATTGTCAAAACAAGAACTAGATAAATCTCTGATTTCGGGTTCTTTGTAATAAGTCTACAGTAATGCCTCATTTATCTAAATTATACCTCAGAACCAGAAGGGAACGAAAAAGGGCCTTGAACAGCCAAAATACATGCCATAAACATGAATTCAAGCTCACTTAACTGTATTTCCAGTGGAGTACTGTACATGAGGCCACAGTCAGAGCATATTTGCTTTCTGTCGATAGATACATTTTGACAAGCTTGGATATCCAGTTAAAGACCTGGTATGGTGATATGTACATGACAACAGCTGCAAGTTATAGCTAATTAGCTCCGAAGTGGAGGACAAAACTATAAAAATTTAAGGACTCTTAAAATAGAGCAGTTTGAGGTTTGTTAACAAGGGAACAGCTTTATGCTGCAGTGGACCTGGGAAAGTATTGGATTGTACAGTACTACTTAGTCATTGATTTAAATTCAGTATGTATTTGTGGTATTGCCTTTATGTACTTGACATTCTGCTGGGTGCTGAGATTGTCTGTAGGCTACTAAAATACATAATAATACTCCTAAGAAAGAAGGAATAATGCAATAATCCTATGCATTATTGAAGAAGGCAGTGCAACTTTTGATGTGTTTAGAGTAAATAATTATCCTACATGAAATGTGTTATTCTCTGACGTTAACAGGATAAATGAGCCCTTACAGGCTTGTCAATCTGTGTGTCATTGTTGCTATGTTTATATGTCGCATTCCCCATGCATTTAACAATTAAACTGGGGCGCATATCTGTTCCTACTAATGTTTTACATACAGGTCTTATATGTGTATATCTATGTATTAATGATAAATGTTCTTTATAAGATTTGAAGAGTTTTAGAGTGTTAGAATTAGTGAGTTTTTAGGTTTGAATTTAATTTTGTTTTTGATTTTTTGATGTTGACTTTGGCAACTTAAGCTTGAGCCCAACTTTGGAGTGTGGTTAAAATGGTGCTTTCAGTATGGAAATAACTCATGAAATAACTCAGAACTTTTGATAGTTTATTCCCATGAATGACCAAATCTTTATTTGAATCATCAATATGAAACTTTAAAAGTCATGACAGTCTGACTTATTTTACTTAGTACGACATTCTCTAGATCTATCCATGTTGTTGCAAATGGTAGTATTTCATCTTTTCTTATGGCTGAGTAGTATTCCATTGTATATAGGTACCACATCTTCTTTATCCAGTCATCCATGGAAGGACATTTAGGTTATTTCCATGTCTTGGCCACTGTGATTAATGCTGCAATGAATATAGGGGCCCATATATCTTTATGAATAAATGTTTTCAAACTTTTTTTGGTAGATACCCAGCTCTATTAATTTTTTGAGGATCCTCCATACAGTTTTCTGTGGTGGCTTTACCAATTTACATTTCCACCAACAGTGTATGAGGGTTCCTTTTACTCCACAACTTCTCCAGCATTTGTTATTTCTTGTCTTTTTTATAATAGCCATTCTGACATGTGTGAGGTGGTATCTCTTATGGTTTTAATTTGCCTTTTCCATATAATAGTTGAATTTGAACATTTTCATATATCATTGGCCATTTGTAAGTCTTGGGAGAAGTGTTTGTTCAGGTCCTCTACCCATATTTAAATTGGATTATTTGTTATTTATTGTTGAGTTGTATGAGTTCTTTATATATGTTGGATGCTAGCCCCTTATCCGAGGTATTATTTGCAGATACCTTCTTTCATTTGGTTGAGTGCATTTTTGTTTTATTGATGGTTTCTTTTACTGTACAGAAGCTTTTTAGTTTGATATAGTCCTATTAATTCATTTTTGCTTTTACTCTCCTTATCTTTGGGGTCAAATTCATAAAATCCTCTCTTAAGACCAAGGCCCATATGTTTAGTCTCTATGGTTTCTATGTATTTAATTGTTTATATTTATGTCTTTGATCTATTTTGAGTTAATTTTTGTGTATGGTGACAAATAGAAGTTTAGTTTCATTTTTTTGCGTGTGATTTTTCTATTTTCCCAGCACCATTTATTGAAGAGGCTTTCTTTCTTTTCATTGTATGTTTTTTACTCCTTTGTCGAAAATTATTTGCCAGTATATATGTGGGTTCATTTCTGGGCTACCAATTTTGTTCCTTTGGTCTGTGTGTCCGCTTTTCTGCCAATACCATGCTGTTTTGATTATTGTCACTTTGACAATATGATTTCACTTGTATGTGTGGTATAAACAGAAAACAACAAATGAACAAAGAAAAACTCATAGGCACAGACAACAGTATGGTGGTTACCAGAGGGGAATGGGGATGGGGGTAGTAGGGGAGGATAAACGGGGTTAAATATATGATGATAGAAGGAGACTTGACTTTGAGTGGTGAATACACAGTGCAACATACAGAGGATGTATATAGAATTGTACACTTGAAACTTAGTGTTACCCCAATAAATTTAATAAAATTAAAAGTCATGTCATATTTTATTAAGTATTGATTATAATTCAGAAAAATTAGAAGAGCTAAACAAAAGCATTAAATTGTATAACATCTTTGCTCAACAGAATCCCTTTTCTCCCTTTAATTTCTATTTTTATTAACTAAAAATTGCTTTAATAAGCCCTATAACCAATATGTAAGATAGTGTGTCTCATGTTATACTCTAGCAGTGGTTTTCGTGTTTAGTTAACCAGGTTTGTTTATAATATAGCCATTTAAAGTCACTTAGTTAAAATGCTATATTAGCAACTATATTTAAGGAGTTAAGAAATTCACTTCATATTTATTCTATACATCTTCATATTTTTTCACTTCTTATATTTGCCCACTGAAGGGAAGTTTTTTTTCTATTCCAAAGAATTTGTGTCTAGTTTTGAGATTTTTGAAGATACAAAACATCATCATTTTTGAATTATAACAAAGTTGGGACTAGTTTGATCAGTAAATTGAAAAAAATAAGGTAAAACCTGGGATCATAAACATTTTCTTTTAACTTAACGTATCAACGTGTATGTGTTTCTAATTTTCTGTTATACATCGTGGCTTTTTCATTAAGTATAGGCCTGATGTGTGGAGTTTTGCAGAGTGTTTCCTGTTTAAACATACCCATGTGTATCATCTATAATTTCCAGTTTCAGTTTCTTTAAAATGGAGTGAAAACTCAAGACCCTTGAAGCAATCTGAATATGTAGATTCCTAAGATTTGTCCTCCAAATTTTTATGGTTATTTGAACTACAGCTAATCAAAGAGAACTTATTTTTAAAGGGAATTTGCTAAGTTTTTCTGCATGTTCAACTTAGAATTCAAGGAAATAGTGTTTTTGTTTTTAGTGGTTATGTATCATTGTTGTCATTTACACTTAATTAAATTAATTGTGATAAAAAGTATGACTGGTATAAACAGTTAGTTTGGGACCAAACGCTGCTGCACTTAATAAACATACAAGTCACCTGTTGATTGCAGAGGTGCATTGCTGGTTAGAGAGTAGCCTACCAGCTATAAGTCTATAGTGGGCATTAGGGAATGAAGAGCAACTTTAATCCAATAATCAACGTGTAATTGAAAAATAAAAACAAAACAAAACAGTGTGTCCTTGAAGTAAAGGTCAGTTTAGAAAGCTATTTGTCCAAAAGCATTAAAACTTGTCCTTATAGTTTATGCAATTAAAGCTGAATTAACCTTTCTTAACATTTTTTTTAGGGTTTCTATACTATTGAAGGATATTTCAGAAAATCTGCATTCGCTGAGGAAGGTGATACTTGGTTCTCCTGAGACCGAACCTAGGTCCAGCATTAATTTTAACTTACTGTCATTTGAAGATCCAGCTGGTGGGGTACAACAGAGACAAGAGGAGATATGGGACACAACACTTGATAATTTAATTACACAGGATGGAGAAAATGTGCTTGGAAATGAAGTGAAACAAGAAGATGGACTAGAACACAATAAATTGAACGAGAATGCAGAAGGGGGTTGTCTAATGTCGTTAGATATTACAGAATATGAACTGCAACTTTTGGAACAGCAGGCTCAGGAAAAGAACCTTAGTGATGTTACTTGCAAATCTCCTGAGGTACTAAATAAAGATAAAACAATTTTCATTCACCCGTAGAGGTTGGCACATTTTTTAATGTGAAGGGGCACATAGTAAATATTATAGGCTTTGTAGATCGCACAGACTCTGTTGTAACTACTCAGTTCTGCCCATTTCTGTGTGAAAGCAGCTATTGACAAATGTAAGCAAACGAGCTTGTCTGGTTCAATGAAATTTTATTAACAAAAGCAAAAAGTGAGCTGCATTTGGCTTGTGAGCCATATTTTGCTACTTCTGACTTAGTATAATAAGCAGCATCTTACAGTTTTGCAGTGGAAAGATTTTATAGTGTCAGCACACATTTATTGGAATTTACTATTTTAGCATTTCTCCTGCCTTTTACCTAATAGCTATCTCTGCTAACATCTGTGTTACCCTTTAATTTTTGAGAAATTTCATATTATGTGTATACTTTGAAATGATGTTTTAAAGGGAAATTTGCTAAGGTTTTCTGCATGTTCAACTTAGAATTCAAGGAAATAGTGTTTTTGTTTTTAGTGGTTATGTATCATTAATGATTCAGAATTATGATCAGGATTTCATGATCTGACTGACATTATTTACCCTAATTATCGCCATTTTTTATTATCTAATAATTAGTAGCATTTTTTATTTATCCATGAAGTACCTCATTTAAAATGTGAAAGAGTTAAAAAAATTTTTTAAGCTTAATATTTTCAGGTTAATTAAGGTTCTACATTCTTTTCCTACTTACAGTTTATTTATTTTTTTTAAATATATTTTATTGATTTTTTACAGAGAGGAAGGGAGAGAGATAGAGAGTTAGAAACATCGATGAGAGAGAAACATCGACCAGCTGCCTCCTGCACATCTCCTACTGGGGATGTGCCCGCAACCCAGGTACATGCCCTTGACTGGAATCGAACCCGGAACCCTTCAGTCCGCAGGCCGACGCTCTATCCACTGAGCCAAACCGGTTTCGGCTGCAGTTTAAAGATTAGACATTTTTGGGTGATTTTTCTTCCATATTTCTTCTGTGGGTTTCTTTTGTGCAGATTCATGTGCTGTTAGGCACTTGCTTTCTGGGGATTGCCAAAATTTTGTAAAGTTTCCTCATATCTAAATATCAGCAATAGCTAAATAAATAACTTATCTGACATTGTTTTTCAAATATATGTAGATGCTATTTGTAAAATATTTATTTACTTAAAGGTATTTTTATGATCATAGATTGTTCCCGACTTTGTGTAGAATTTTTCAACCTTGCAAAGAGGTTCTTATGCTCAAAAAGTTTGGGAAACACAGTTTGACATTGTTTAATGATAGTTGAACTTGACACTTTGTGTTCTCATTTATAGTGTGGGCTTTCTTTCAAGTTTAATGTATCTTTTTTTTTTTTATCTTTCCAATTATATTTCTTTCTCTTTTTATTTGTTTTTTTTTTTTGTTTCTATGTTTATTCCTTCTTCCTTCTTCCTCCCTACCACCCTCCTTCTCTTCTGTCTCTCTATCATAGAAACATATAAATATGTATTATAAATTTATCTTAGAGAAGAGAATATTTTGTAGAAGAGAGATATGAAGTCAATGAAACTGAAATTAATGTTTTAAATCTTTTTTTTTTAAAGGATTTATCTTCCAAGGATAATGAAGAAGATACATCTTATATAATTGAAAGTGATGAAGATTTAGAAATGGAGATGCTTAAGGTATGTTTAAAATTATGGAAAATTACTTCCAGTTCTTTCCAAAGGACATTTAATTAACTAAAAAATTGCCTAATTCTAAACTGGTTCCACTACAATGAGATTGCTATCAATTATGTAACATTAGATTTTGCTTTCCAATTCATAGTTCTTTATACTTTACTAGAGGTCCGCTGCACAAAATTCATGCACAGGTAGGGTGCGTAGGCCTGGCCGATGATCAGAGGTTATCTGTGGGGTGATTGGCAGGGCGATTGGGGGGCAGGAGGAGGGGTCACTGGCACCCGCCTTGGCTGGCCTGGGGCCTGCGGGCTAGAGGCAGCTCCTGTGTTGCATGTCTGCCCCCTGGTGGTCAGTGCACGTCATAGCAACCGTTTGTTCTGCCAGTTCTACCATTCAGTCAATTTGCATATTAGGCTTTTATTATATAGGATATGTTCTATGAATAATGTTTTAGTAGTAGAATACTAATCTTTACAAACTATAAGACATATTAATATGTTTTCTGTGTTCCTTCTTAGGTCACTTTTTAAAAATCATTTCCTTGAGGGTGGATTGTGGTTCAGCTCTCTAGTATTGAAATAGGTTTCTTTCTTGTCATTCATGTGTATCCCCTTTTATATAGAAGTTCTGTATTTATACATTCAGTATTCTTTTTTCTTTCTTTGGTTTTATTTACTGTGAATATTTTATATTTATTATATATAATCTTCTAATGTTGTAAATGGTTCAGTTTTCTCCTGTTATCAAAAGGAAATTATTGTTTTATTAGAGGCCCGATGCACAAAATTCATGCAAGGATAGGTCTTCCTTCCCCCAGCTGTCAGCACCGGCTTCCCTCCAGCTGCCAGGACCTGGGCTTCCCTCTGGCTGCCGGCAGCCGGCCCCAACCCCCCCCCCCGCCTGCACCCACCTTGGCCTGGTGCTGCCCATGTCCAACCCCAGTCCCCACTTCTCCCTTGATTGATTGTCCCGCCGGCCAGTGGCCTGGGCCTCCCTCTGCGGGGCGATTGAGGGGTGATGGCGGGCCCCCCCTGACCAATCACATCACACCCACCTTGGCTGGCCTGGCGTCAGTGCATGTCATAGCGTGGTCATCCAGACAGTCGTTCTGCTGTTCAGCTGTTCGGTTGATTTGCATATTATGCTTTTATTATTATAGATCATTTATTTATTTATTTTTAATATATCTTTATTGCTTTCAGAGAGGAAGGGAGAGCAAGAGAGAGATAGGAACATCATTCAACAGCTGCCTCCTACATGTCCCCAGTGGGGATCGAACCTGGACATGCACCCTTGACTGAAATTGCACCCAGAACCCTTCAGTCCACAGGCCAACACTCTATTCACTGAGCTAAACTGGCCGCTAGGAATATATATTTTATTGATTTTTTACAGAGAGGAAGGGAGAGGGATAGAGAGCCAGAAACATCGATGTGAAGGAAACATCGATCAGCTGCCTCCTGCACACTCCCCACCGGGGATGTGCCTGCAACCAAGGTACATGCCCTTGACCGGAACCATACGTGGGACCCTTGAATCTGCAGACCAACGCTCTATCCACTGAGCTAAACCGGCTAGGGTAGGGCATAATTTTTTTATTTTCTACCCCTTCACCCAACCTCTAGTTTTTTTGTCAGGTCTGTGAATCAAGAATGATAGAACGAAAAGTCTGAATTCAGCCAAATTAAGTGAAAATGAAGTGCAGAAGTTCACAATTATGTGTACTTACTATTTTTTATTTTTAGGTTGATGTGATATTTTTTAAAAATGAAATGAGATTAGTCTCCTTATTCTTTAGTTTTGAGGCAGAGTACTGGGTAGTGATTAGGAATGTGAATTCTGAATTTAGATGTGGGTTAATTCCAGCTTCTCATTTAGTAGCTGTGTGACTTTGAGCAGGTTTCTTAGCCTTTTTGATTCTAAATTAACAGTTGTAGTTATTACTTACGGTGTTACTTTTGAAGAGCTTAGTAGAGCCCGGCATTTTGTAAAGTGTTTAATAAATATTAGCTAATAGTAATAATAGAACGTAAGTGCCAAATCATATTCCTTTATTAATTAACCATTTCTCTGAAGAATGCTGTTTAGGTAGTGAATTTATAGGATACTTATAGACTTCTATAAGCATATTATATATGGAACCTCTTAGATGACAACTTGGTGCCCATTTGAGAGAACTTTATTTTTAAAATGCTTTTCAAGTATGTTTGTTAACTTGAATAAACAATCAGGAACAGAACTTTTATTTTTATTTTCCAGGCCTGAAATGAATATACTTTAAAAAAAACTTTAAAGTCAAATTTATTAAATGGAAGTTTTAATAAAAGGAGAAAATTAGAACTGTAGTTTAATAATTCTTCCTGTCACTTCTCCGTAAATAATTTTACAAATGAAACAATTTTGAAATATCCTAACAGTCTTTAACTACATAATCTTCATTTAGGAAAGGAAATCAGATATTGTCAGACAAAATAAAAACAAAGAACTTTATTTTACATTTGTAATATTTCTTGCCTAAAAGTATTTGAATCTTTTTGTTGTTGTTTTGACAATATCAAAAACACATTTATTGTTTGCTTATAGTTTAAACCTTATGCTTACTCAAAAAGAATATGAGTGACGTGTAAATATAGAGAAACTCATTACAAAAATAATATTAAAATCTGCATCTACCTCTTAAGAACTGAAAACATTGATGACGTATGATGAAGAAAAAATGTTTTAACTCATAAATATTCAAAATTTATGATAACTCTTTTAGGTACAGTTCCTTATATTCTATTAATGACCTCTGTTTATGCCGAAAGTATTCCATCTTTGGCCTTTTGCCTTAGAAACCATATTTAAATTGGAGCACACATGTTCTTTTGTGTAATTGCTTGCACATCTGCCAGCTTTGAACAAAATTGTAGGCTCTGTTAATAATACTCTTTTTGTGTTTGGTGAAAAAGATACGACATTGTCTATGGTTTTGCTTTTAAAATTATTTTTAAACTCCCAGTCTTTAGAAAACCTAAATAGTCGCACAGTAGATCCAATTCATTCAAAATGCATGGATGTGGAAAGCAATCTGAATGTTCCTTGTAAAGAAGATGAAGATGAGGATGAAGCTATTGAAGAGGAAGAAGAAAATGAAGGTAAGCACTGAAATATGAAATGACTCACCTCTGATACCTATCAGTGACTTTAATTTAGGGCCCAGTTTATAAATATTTTGGAGGTCAAGGGTTTTGTGGCATGTAGTTGATTAATTCCTATAAACTTGTCATTAAATCCCTTAGTGCTTTGGTCTTCATAAAGCACAATCTTACTATTTATAAAAGTAGAGTAATGGAAGTGTCATTTGGTGGCTGTGGTGATGTGAAACTTTTCATCCTGAATTTTATTTTTCAAAATTTTAAAAAATTATTAGTAAAGAATTAATGACTGATATTAAACATTATTATAAACTAGAGGCCTTGTGCATGAAATTTGTGCATGGGTAGGGTCCCTAGGCCTGGCCGACGATCAGGGCTGATCTGTGAGGCAATTGGCGGGGTGATCTGGGCCCCCGCTCGCACCTGTCTTGGCCTGGCACCGCCCGCTCGCTGGCCCCGCCACTGCAGCCACCAGTTGGGGCCTGTGGGCTGGGGGCAGCTCCTGCATTGAGCGTCTGTCCCCTGGTGGTCAGTGCTTGTCATAGTGACTGGTCGTTCAGCCCATTGTTCTGCTGTTTGGTTGATTTGCATATTAGGGTTTTATATAAATAGATGGGATAGATACATAGTATCTGTTTTGCAGGCGCTTATTGCTTAAAACAAGTGGCACAATGTCAAATAGCAAAATAGACTGATTTTTATACTGTGTATACTAACTATAGTAAGACTCCACTAAGTAAACCTATTATTTAAGTGAAGTAATAGCATCTATTATGATAAACTATGGATCTTCTCAAGAAGTAGAACACTCTCTAGAGCTAGATTTTATCAGTGTTATATGGAAATTTAAGGTACATTTTATAGGTGGAAAATATATGAAGATGTTAAAAAAAATGTTCTCCCCCTAGCTTTCTTGAATTAAATAAATATATGTGATATCCAAATCAATTTAGCGTTCTATTTAGAATTGTTAAAGCTGAGAAGTATGATAATGACTTCTCATTTGTTTAGAGATGAGTTATCTTGATTCTTTTCATTGCTCTTTCTTGGCCACTCTGAGAGTAAAGTTAGCATATCTCCCTTGTGCTATGCAACGAGAATTTTGGTCAAAGATTAGGTGGAGTGGTAACTAAGATGAAGATTTTATTTTATCAATGGATTTCATTTGTGACTGTAATCTAATTTCTGGTTACTATTAGTTGGTTATATTATAAAATTTGGATTGGTGTATCACTTGCTATGGTTGGGTCTAATGTTGATTTTTAGAGGGATAGCAAATTCCAAAATATCATTTTTTTTTACAGTGCTGGCAAAGCCTGAACCTCAATAAAGTTCTAATCCTTAGAATTAGGTAATTGTTAAGGTGTTTACCTGGAGTCATGACTGGTGCCCAGAGGATTAAATTGGTTGGATTTAAAAGACAGAAAATAGTAACCTTTTGGTACTTATCACTATATTCTTTACAAGAAGCCAATGAAGTAAAACTTTTATTCCCTCTCACCGTATGAACGTCTATCTCTTACATAAAAGGCCTGTGGCCATCACGACCAAACAAGCAGTGGTTCTCGCTGCTCGCAGGGCAGGGCGAGCGTGAGCTACTAGTGGTGGAGAGCTAGGAGCTGCAGAGGGCGAGGGCGGGGCAGCAAGCTACAAGGGGCGATGGGCGGGGCCGCCAGCTGAGGCGAGCGGAAGCGAGCTACTAGTGCAGGCCTCTAGTTTTAATATAAGTACCTATTTTATTTTATTTTAAGACCATTCAATACCAGGACCCAATGAAAAGCAAGTTATTTGCCTCAAGACCTACTTTGGCCATTCCAGTTTTAAGCCGTGAGTGTAATCTCAATTTTTTTTTAAATTTTTAATTATTATTGTCATTGATTCTTAGAGGGAGAGGAAGGGAGAGGGAGAAACTTCGATGTGAGAGCAAAACATCCATCAGCTTCCTCCTGCATGTCTCCTGCATGCCCTCCACACGCAACTTGGGTGTGTGCTCTCTCTGGGAATTGAACCCGGAAAGCTTTTGGTGCATAAGACGATCCCACCAACTGAGACACACTGCATAGGGCTTGTAAGCTCAGTTAATTAAATTGCATATTTATTATTTTCTTCACAAGAGAAAAAAGGCAAATAATCCATCCATTTAACAGTAGTAGTACAACTTTACTATAGTTTATATATGCGACACTGTATTTCCTATTAGTGCCTACAAAGTTAGTTTGAAGTAATATTTGTATAAAATTCATGTCTACCTAGTATACATTATTTTTAAGGAAAATTGGCTTTTCTTACCTTAGAGAGTTCTGGGTAGAAATTAGTTTTAATACACTAGTAAATGAATCTTAATATAATGCTGACTTGTTTTTCGTTAAGTGTTTATCCATGTGCCTATTTTGTGCATCTGATTGTCCATAGCATGCTGATGTTACAGAAATTCATAAGACAACTGTTTGAAGAACAATGATAATCTTATCATTTTAACATGTTTAAATGTATTAACATTGAAGGGGGCACATTTACAAGTATTATTATGAGATGAGGAACAAGCAAATTTGAGTAAAACTAATAAGAATGTTGATACCTACATTGGATATTTTTCTCTTCTGTGAATTTAAAATTGAATCCATGGAAAAATAAAAAATTGTTCCTGTTGATCTCAAAATTAAAAAAAAATTAACTGTCTTACGTACAGAAAAGTGCATATAAATGTACAGATCAATGAATTTTCACAATTTAGGCACCTTGTGTAACTAGCACTCAGATAAGGAAGAATAGGTTGTTATCGGCATACTGGAAGATCACTTTTCCAATTGATTTTCTCCCTCAATATTTTATTAAAAAAATGTTTGAGGATGAACAATAAAGTTGAAAGAATTTTTTTTACTATGAATACCTGTATATTCAACATTTTAATATACTTTCTTTATCACATACTCATCGATCATCTCTCTACTCATTCCTTAATTCATCCAGTTTTTAAAATGCTTCTCAAGGTAAATGTGAATATCGTTCCACTTCCCCCGGAGTACTTCAGCATATAAATCACTAACTGTAGTTAAATATTTATTTATTTTTCTCTTAATGTGAAATTTACATAAAAGGAAATGGTCAAACCTTAAGTGTATGTACATTTGCAGATCTTAAGTGCACATGTACGCATCCATGTAACTTACATTTAAAGTTCTAGGGTTCAGACATTTTTATATTGAAGCCCAAAATGTAAAATAAATTCTATTAGAGGAAGTGGAAAAATTAAATGGGTTTGAACTTGTCTCTTGGGTTTCTTGGTAGTAAAACAAAACAGCCTTTTGTGTTTTCACTCTCCAGGGTTCAGTGGAAAGTGATTCATTCTGTACTGGAAGAAAGAAGAGATAATGTTGTTGTCATGGCAACTGGTAAGTTGTGCTTAAGCAAATAACCTAATACCTAAAAAAATAAAACGTAAAGGTTTTTAAATGCCTGTTCTTTCATTAAACTTTCAGAATGCAAATAACAGTAGTCCCCCTTTACCCATGGTTTTACTTTCTGTGGTTTCAGTTACCTGCTGTCAACCAATGTCTGAAAATATTACATGGAAAATTCTAGAAATAAATAATTCATAATTAAAATGCTCACCATCCTGACTAGCGGGATGAAATCTCTCACAGTCCCTTTATCCAGTGTATCCACGCTGTTCCCCCTGCCCGTTAGTCACTTGGTAACCGTCTCTATATAATTGGATCTGCTGCCACAGTATTGAAGTACTTGTGTCTCAGTAATCTTTATTTTACTTAATAATGGCCTCAGAGCATAAGAGTAGTGATGCTGGTAATGTGGACATGCTAGAGAGAAGCTGTAAAATGCTGCCTTTAAATGAAAAGGTGAGTACAGCACAATAAGATACTTTGAGAGAGAGACTACATTCACATAACAGGAGATTGTTATAACTGTTCTACTTTATTCTTAGTTATTGTTAAAATCTTACTATGTCTAATTTATAAATTTAACTTTATCATAGGTGTGTATGTACAGGAAAAGAGATTGTATGTATTGGGTTCAGTGCTATCCATGGTTTCAGGCATCCCCTGGAGGTCTTGGAACATATCCCCCATGGGTAATGGGGACAACTACAGGTGGCGTGAAATATAGAAGAGAGTGAACTGAGAGTAGATGCTTAAATTTATGCATGAATTAGCTCTTACGAAGATAGCATATTAGTAAGTGATCCTTTATCTCATTCAGGTGCATTGTAAGAAGAAATCAAAGTACCAAGGCTTTATTTTTATTTCAATGAGTATATTATTTTTATTTCAAGGCTATGGAAAGAGTCTGTGCTTCCAGTATCCACCTGTTTATGTAGGCGGGATTGGCCTTGTCATCTCTCCTCTTATTTCTTTGATGGAAGACCAAGTGCTCCAGCTTAGGTAAGTAATGTTTTCATTGCCACATTATCACCTTTTTCTTCTCCTGTGAAGAAAAATTCTAATCTATCATGTATTTTAAAATCTAGTTCCCAGGAACAGATTACTATAAGTGCTACTTTATTTTTATAAGTGATAAATGACATGTTAGTGGAAGAACTTACCTTCTTAAGTTCTCTGTAATTCAAGGCTACCAGGTGGCCCCAATAAATGTTTCTTAAAACCAAACTTTATGCCAGTTTAAATTGCATATCTCACAATTCTGTTCTCTTTCTCTCTGTATGAAGTGTATACATGGAACCCTATATTTTAGTTATGAAAAAATTTTAAACATCTTTAATTCGAGTTTGCAATCTTTTTGACAAACAAAAAACAAAAACCACCTTAACAAACTGCCTTCTAATATGGCCCTGGAAGGAATTTGTTTATCAAATTAGTAAGTTACAAAAAGAGCGAGGATTGCAAAGAAGAGGAATGTATTTTTTAAATAATACTTCTTTATTCCTTCTCACTTAAGAATGAAGTTGATATTTGTAGTGTGTATGTACGTGGCTTCATTATGTGTGTGTGTTTTTCCTTATAGAATGTCCAACATTTCAGCTTGTTTTCTGGGATCAGCACAATCACAAAATGTTCTAAAGGATGTTAAACTGTGAGTAATTTATATGATTTCTGATCAGGTGTCTAGGATATGTGAGAAAATTTTGTACGCAAAATTTTTTATTTAACACGAACAAAATAGCCATGATTTTAAAATGTATTGTCTTTTTTATAGTGCATTTACAGAACTATTAATTTTAAAATCCTTTAAACTGAAAGAAATCTATTTTTAGTTCTCAACTATAATGTTAACATTGTAATCATGGGATTGTAAAATTTTGATTTTGGAAGAGAACTTGGAGAGTTATCTAGTTTTGCTCCATTTTACAGATGAGGAAACTGAGGCTCAAAGTAATTTGGCCCATATCACTCACTCAATGAATTAATGGCTGAGCAGGGACTAGATTCTAGATCTCTTGCCCCACTAATCTCATTATGACATAATTCCTTACTAGAATAAAATTGTCAGACACACAGAGAAATAAGTGTAGATATATTAATATAAATATTTGTATATTATTATACAAACAATAAACATGTATTTACCAAGTATTGATAAATGCATATAAATATGTCACTCAAACTCTTAACAAGATATATAGCATTACTGTCTTTATGTTCTTTTATGTTCCTTTATGTTCTTTCCTAGTTTATCCTTTACCCTTCATCCTAAAGCAGTGGTCGGCAAACTGTGGCTTGGCAAACTGTGGCTCGTGAGCCACATGCGGCTCTTTGGCCCCTTGAGTGTGGCTCTTCCACAAAATACCGACTTCTGTGCATGGGCCTCGAAGTTTCAATCGCACTGTACGTGTACGCCCACATGTGGTATTTTGTGGAAGAGCCACACTCAAGGGGCCAAAGAGCCACATATGGCTCTTGAGCCGCAGTTTGCTGACCACTGTGGACCTAAAGCAAACCACTGTTCTAGTTTTTTTCTACCATACTTTTGTTTTGCTTGTTCTAGAACTTCATGTAAATGGAGTCAGACAATATGAACTCTTGTGTAAGACTTCTTTCATTCAGCCTTGGGAATTTCATAATGCCTTGGGAATCTTCCATGTTGTTATATGTATCAGCAGTTTTTTAAATACCAATGGTATTTAAAAATTTTTAAGAAAAATCCTTATCCAAGGACATGTTTATTAATTTTAGAGAGTACCTTAACACTGAGTAATCCCTGACAGGCATTGCCAGCTTTTTGGTGATGAGTTGAAGTGAAATCAAAGAACAATATATATATACACGCATACACACAATATTTAGTTTTTAGTAATTAGCATAATGTATTATTTAAAAATTTATCAGGTATTTTGGTTTTAAGTTGTAATCTATTAGGCTATTGTTTTCTTTATTGTAGAATATTTCTTGTACTATTTTTTGTTGTTTGTTTTGTTTTTATAGAGGCAAATACCGAATTGTTTACTTAACTCCAGAATTCTGTTCAGGTAACTTGTACCTGCTTCAGCAACTTCAGGCTGATATTGGTAAGTGATATAATAGGATCTTTATAAGTATTTATTAAATAGAGTTACCCTTTAAAGTTAAACTTATGGATGGATATTGGATTTCACTTCTCTTAAAGTCTATTTTAAACACTAGAGGCCCAGTGCATGAGATTCGTGCACTGGGGGTAATGGGGTCCTTCAGCCCGGCCTGCGCTCTCTTGCATCTGGGACCCCTGGGGGGATGACCGCCTGCCGGCTTTGGCCCAATTGACCTGGGGATCGGGCCTAAGCCAGCAGTCAGACATCCTTCTTGCAGTCCAGGGCTCTCTTAGTCTGAGACCTCTTGCTCCTTACTGACTGTCTGCAGTGGAGGTGGGAGAGGCTCCCGCCACTGCTGCTGTGCTCACCAGCCGTGAGTCCAGCTTCTGGCTGAGCGGCGCTCTCCCTATGGGAGCGCTCTGACCACCAGGGGGCAGCTCCTGCATTGAGTGTCTGCCCCCTGGTGGTCAATGCGCCTCATAGTGACCGGTCTTCCGCCATTCGGTTGATTTGCATATTACTCTTTTATATAGGATTAACTCTTCCAGGAAATCTCTGACTCTCCAACTTGGTGTCTCTACTGTCTTATCCCATAGAAGACTGGAATTCCTTCTGCCATAGAAAGTACCGTGGGCTCCTGTATTATAATTACCAGTTTATGTATGTTATCTTCTGCTACACTCTAAACTTTTTGAGGAAAAAAAACCATTCTTATTTATATTTCCATGGTGCAGTATGTGGCACATAGTAGGCATTTACATGTATTGTTGAATGAGTATTGAGTCTTAGATTCTATGAAATTATAATATTTTAAAAATATATTTTTAATCTAAAATCAGTGTAGTGATTCTCTACCCTTGTTGTTCAAGAGAATCACCTTTCGGACTTTTGAAAAATATAGGATCCTTCCATTGTGAAAATTCTGATTAAATGCCTAGGCTCGGGCCCTGGCATTTTTAGGTTTTCACAGGTGTTTTTGATGTGTAGTCAGAGTTGGAAACCAAAGTACCTTTGATTATTTGCCTCCAGTGAGTATAATTAACATAAAAAATTAGATAATAAGTTAGAGCTTTTTTCCTAGAAAATTTAAATATAGAATTAGTCAAGAGCTGACACCATTTTTTTGTACTTAAAAATTTTTTTGTCTTATTTCTTTTTTGATGGTTAAGCTCAGCTATCCAAGAGTTGCTATCAAGGCTTCTATTGTAAATGCACATATTTCAAACATTCAGTTGAACCAACCAATATTATTTTCTAATATTATATAATCCTATATAATAAAAGCCTAATATGCTAAGTGTCCGGTTGTCCTAATATGCTAAGTGCCCGGTCATCCAATCGTCCATTCATCCAATCAAAGCATAATCTACACTAATAAAAGAGAAACATGGTAATTAGCGTACGACCGCTACCCTTTTCATTGGCTAATCAGTGAGTATATGCAAATTAACTGTCAGCCAAGATGGCAGCCGGCAGCCA